ACTACATGGTGGGTATTTGTGAGCAAGTGAAATTTGTTTATAATATTATTTATTTTGGGTAGGACACCCTTCCTTACTTCATTGTTGTAATAGTGTCTAATTTGGAAATATATGAATAAAACTCTTTTTTTCAAGGTTGAATTTTCTTTTCAGTTTTTCAGACGTATTAAAGGTGTTGCCCTCTACAATCTGACATAGTGTTGAGTTTGCCCCTTTAATGTAAAAAGGTAGGGTCTTTCATACCTGGTCAAAAGCGTGAAGTCCTGGAAGGCCAGATCAAAAGTTTAACAGCATCCATCAAGTTATATTTATCTACTGCCTCTTTCCAAATTTGTAAAGTGCTTTATCTATGCAGTTCCCATTTTTCTCTGACAATTTTGTCCCCCAAACGTGTTTAAGGTTGGTCCTGGTCTTGAGTTAATTTGACATGTCTCCATCGGGCCTCAATTTCAGGGGAGCACCAACTAACCTCATTTGGGAAGCATTGTAGTACTGCCTCAGATTTGGAAGTGCTAGGCCACCTTGTTCTTTATTAAGTTAGAGTGTCTTAAATTTTATCCGTGGGCCTGTCCCTGCCCAGATAAATCGTGGTATCAGTCTGTCCCGTGCAATGAAATGTGCATCCATAATCCTGTCAGGCAGTGAAATAAAAAGATATAAAAATCAGGGGAGCAGGTCCATCTTTACTATTTCTGTCCTAGCACTTAAATCTAATCTCATCATATCCCACCGAATGAGATGTTTATGTCAGTAACTACCAAAATTTAGATCAAAAAGCTCATTTAGATCTGGAAAGATAAGTACTCCCAAGTAGAGGCTGTCAGTTTTTTGGGATCCCAGTGGGTTATGTCACAAATCAGAGCCAGGCTGGTGGCGGAGCAAATGGCTGTGCCCTTTAAACCCATAAAGGTCATGACATGATTTTAGGTGTGTTTGGTAACTGGGCCTTCAGTGCCAGTTTACTGACGTAATATGATGTTAGAACGGTGGTGGACTGGCCATCTGTGAATTCTGGAAAATCCCAGAACAGCTGGTGTTGGCCTTTCCTCAACCCCACCTGTCGGAGGTCCCCCAGGCTGCAGGAACATCCAGCCCCCCACACAGTGAGGACCGGAACAGTCACTTCTATTTTTGAGTTTTTCTGGCCATTTACCCAATTTGTCCGTCCTCAAACATTAGCCATCCACATCATCACAGTGTTGCCCCTCTCGATACGCTGGACTCGCGCTCCATGAGGGGCCACATTTTGCACACAGGGCTGCGTGTGGCCTACGGCAACTTCAGTCCAGGCAGAAGAGGGGAAAAAATGCATTATCCAACACTGTGCACATTCCCGCAAAGATAGGCAACAGCAGCATCTGACCAACCCGTGGTTAAATCTGCTGAAAACATCAGGTTGGCCATGAAAATGTAAAAATCACCCACTGTCAGAGTTAGGAAAGGTGAGCTTGGGCCTTTTCTTTTCCTTGGTTTTGGAGCAGAAGAAGATGGGCTTGACCATGCCTGTGGCTGAGCACCGGTTGGCTGATGACCATTGGTACCCCTCATCCATTTCATCATTATTCATTTTTCACATGAAAATAAAACATAATATTGTAAAATTACGTTAATTTATGTAACTTTAAGGATTGGCTACGTGTGTATTAAAGGATGAATCTGATTGATCTTTGAATGTTTAATCAGAAGATTTTAGTTTCTTTTACTTATTCAGGGACCAGAAACACACTTCATATTAATTCAGACAGCGTCAAGTTTAGTTTATAAAAAGGAAATAATTTCTATTTCCCTAAACCAATGATTATACAAGACAGGGTATGAATCAAATGCTGGAATGGAAGCTAGATGTTTTAGCAAAACCTTTACGTATCTGAGAAAGTTTGTGGAGTCTGGGTTGTAAAATCAGTTTGGCGGTATGTTTGATAAGCTTGAGATTTGTTTATAAAACCATCTGACACAATTTGTGCCGAGTCTACGCACCCTTGTGTGGAGATCCCCGAGCAATCCAGGGGGTCACAACAAAGCCGTTGTGTCTGTAATCACTCACAAGCGTTGCAGAGAGGCTTTGACCTGATGTCAAAAGATAGGATGGTCTCAAAAAGCTTGTTCACCGCTTTGGCCGGACCGGGAGTCAGCTAGAAACTGAATTAGATCCGCAAATAATTCTGTTTAATGACCTTCCTTATTTATAAACTTGTACAAATCAGAATTTGACACGTTTAAAGGGCATTACCAAAATACCTCAGATGGTCACACTTTCCCTCAGATACAAAGAGGGGTTAACTCTTTGTGAAATGGAAATGTTTTTAACAGTTATATTATAATGTGTATGAGTATTAAGGTTTGTCCTTTCTAATGTAATAATCACCCAGAAACGAATATTGTCGTTTTTAGCTTTGCAAAGGGGAGAGAGCAATGGAGAAGTTAAACAGGACACAGTCGTAACTCCACTCCAGTGCCAACTCCAAAGTTCTCCCTGCGTGGCTCATTTTTATTAAGCACC